GATGGGTGCTACTAAGAATAGTGCTGCTAAATTTTCTTGAACAACTCTCCTGGTACACATGTGCAAGAATATCTGTAGCATCAATACATGATAGTAGAATTACTAGACTGTTGGATTACTGACTTCACAAAGTCAGCCTAACAAAAGTATGACAATTGTTTTCCAGAATAGTTATCAATTTAGACTTCCACTAATGATATATGCGTCCCTATTGGTCCATATTCTGGCCAATAAATGGCAATGTCAGATTTCTTAATTATAGGCAATCAGATGGGTGTAAAATGGTACCTCTGCTTATCCCTAATGAGGTAGACATCTTATTTTATATTCATTCACCATTCTTGTTTCCTCTTTAGTGAAATATCTGTTCATATCTTTTACACATTTTTATTTTTTTATTTATTTATTTTTTTTATTTTTATTTTTTGTGAGGAGGACCAGCCCTGAGCTAACATCCAATGCCAATCCTCCTCTTTTTTGCTGAGGAAGACTGGCCCTGAGCTAACATCCATGCCCATCTTCCTCTATTTTATATGGGACGCCACCACAGCATGGCTTAACAAGCGGTGCGTCGGTGCGCACCCGGGATCCGAACCGGCGAATCCTGGGCCGCTGCAGCAGAAAGTGCGCACTTAACCGCTTGCGCCACCGGGCCGGCCCCTACACATTTTACATTTTTATTTTTTAATTGATTTGTAGGTTATGTATTTATGATGATAATTCATTTAAGTTATATATGATGCAAATATCTTTTTCCAGTTTGTGACTTGTCTTTTCGTTGTCTTTATGGTGTATTTTAATAAAATAAGTTCTTAATTTTAATACCGTCAAAGTCAGCATCCGATGCCAATCCTCCTCTTTTTGCTGAGGAAGACTGGCTCTGAGCTAATATCTGTGCCCACCTTCCTCTACTTTATATGGGACGCCGCCACAGCACGGCTCGACAAGCAGTGTGTCAGTGCGGACTGGGGATCTGAACCTGCGAACCCCAGGCTGCCGCAGTGTAGCGCACGCACTTAACTGCTTGTGCCAGCGGGCCGGCCCCAAAGTCAACTTTTAAAAAAATTATTAGTACTTTGGATTGTGTGTTTTGTTTAAGAAATCCTTCCCCACCCTGAGGATATAAACATTTTTTATATATTTTATTCTAAAAGATTCTATGTCTTTCAGATTTATTTAATCTACCTGCAACTAATATCAGTATATAGTTTTAGGCTGCAATCCAAATTAAATTTTTTTCTAACCAATTTTCTCAGGACCATTTATTTTAAATACTTTGACTTCCGCCAGTGAGCTTCAATTATCAAGCTAGATATTGGTAGGCCCAGTCCCTCATCATATTCTTCAGAAGGATCTTGAATATTCTTGAATCTTCACATTTTATCTAAATTTAAGATTCCGCATGTTATTATCCAAGAAAATCTTTACTGGGATTTTGATTGGTATTACATTGACTTAGACTGAATTGGGAAGAATTAATACCATTATGATATTTTGTCTTTCTATTTGTAACATGATATTCTTTCCATTTAGCAATTTTTTTATGCCATTCAATATAGTTTTAAAATTTCTTTGTAAAATTCTTACATATCTTTTGTTAGATATAATGCCAGAGCTGAAGTTTAGCTCCTTTATATTCTATGGGTCTCAGCACTGTTACTGGTTTTTGTTCCAGGACAACTCTGAATTTCCTGTTTACTTACCACTCACCATTAAGATTTTTAGCTTACTATATTTTATGTATATCTTGTCACTGAGGAATTTTCCTTGTTTTTTGGGGCACTTATGAATAAATCTTTATGTTTCTTAAAATATCCAGGATCTTGTTGTCATGTAACAGGAGTGTCTTTTGAAGTATTTGGTATGCCATTTTGCCAGAAGTTGAAACATTTAATAAAAAAAAAAAATACATAAATGAGTAATCCATGGTAAGAAAAGCCTTAATGACTGGAAGATGCAAAACATTATTATCTTCATTTTTGGGTACGTGAATACCATTTTTAAGCATTATTTAGAGATGTAATATGTGTTTTCAATAAAAGTTTATCTAATAAAAATGAGATGCTTTCAAATAAGTGATTAATATTCACTTATGATATCTGAAAATGATTCCATTTATATTGATTTTTATCAGTTTACGTTTTCTTCCGGATGTAAGAAGCAGGTAATATGAACATCAAAGTCCCTTGAAAAAAGGACCTAGAGTGAAATACGACGTATCTGGCTTTAACTGGATTAAAATAGTAGCCTGTTGAGACTTTCTTTTTTGTGATTTGGAATTGAAGCTCAAGACACCTGGTGCATTCTTTGAGTCCTATGGGGGATCAGTGACTATCTGTAGTGCATGATGGCAGAATACAGAAGACACCATGACTAATTAAATGTAGAATTACAGTTTATGTCAGGGAGAAAGATTCATGTTTGTTTTCAAACTAAATCTTTTATTTAACTTTTTTCATTCTTCAAAAATAGAATGCAAGATGGCATTATTAATTTATTTCTGTTTTGGTTATAGGCTTATATTCGGGGAGACTTCTGGATTACAGGAGCTTCAATTTATCTGGGTGGGGTATCAATGTAATTTCATAAATAAATATACTGGAAGATATTTTGAATATACAAATTTGAGGTAGATCATAAAATTTAATATCAGTTAAACCGTATTGAGTGTTTACTAAGTGGCATTATTTGATTATTTCTCACAATAATACTATGCACTAGACACCATTATTAGTCTCATTTTTCAATGAGGAAACTGGGTCTTTGAGGATGACTTTAACTGGCCCAAAGAAACAAATTTAATAAGCAGTGTATGCCAGTGCTTCTCAAACTTTAATGTGCGTGTAGTTCACTCGTGGCTGTTGTTAAAATGCAGATTTTTATGTACTAGATCCAGCCAGAGATACTACATATCTAATAAGCTCCCAGGTGATGCTGATACTCCTGGTACAAAGACTAATACTTTGAGTAGCAAGAATGTAAGAGGATTCAAATTCAGGTGTGTAGGTGTGTCTGACTTCAAGTTTTCGTTCTTACCTGTTACACAAATATATCCTTTGGCCTGAAGAAGTGTACAGTCATAACCAAGAAGAAAAGAGGGCTAGTTAGTGTGCTGTAAACTACTGTTTATTCAGACTGAATAAGAATTGGATGTTCCAGTTAATAGAATATTCTGGAATGCTATGAGTTTTTCAATGAATTCTATATCAATTAACCATTTTCAAAAAATGATTCAGTGAAATAAAATATGTAATATTGAAAAATTTTATTTTTATTTGAATCTGAAAAATTTAAAACTTTTATTATTTTTTCAGTACCAAGGTTATCAATCTAAGATATCTTTGAAGACATATTATAGATGTAAAAATCTATAATATTGAACTGGGTTTTTTTTACATATCTACTCAAGAAGTAATCTAACAGTTTGTGTTTGATAATTCATCTGTTTTTAAAAGGAAAGGAACTAGAGATTTATTTTTTTAGTGGAAGGATTACTTTTCAGTATCTGCAATAATTTTTATTGTGCATGCGTGTACACAGATTTTAGGTATTCGAACATTAAATTTTTAATTCTATCTTTTATAGCCTTTTGATTAAAAACTAAAATATAACGTATTTTATTGCTTTATGCTTATCTCTGGTTTCGTTATATGTTTAACTGTAAACTACTTCTACCGGTATTTTCTTTTTCAATTTCAGTATTTATTTTGACTTTTTATTCATATTCTTTTTGTGGTATGGTCTTTCATCTACTCTATCAACTAGCCTTAGGAAGCGCTGAAAGAGAAATTGATTAAAACAAAAAAATTGGTTGCTTTTGCCCTAAAACCATCTCTTTGATAGCAAAACAGCCTTTTGCACTCAAATAGTTGTTTATTTGGTTTTGTTTTGTTTTTGTGATTATATAAAAACATGGTATGATTCTGATGATTCATATGCACTGTGCTTTTAGAGAAATCCTTTGAAACAGGCACATTAAACATCTATTC